AGGGGGGCCGCGAGGGTGAGAGACGAACCCGAGTGCGACCGCATTGGCGGCTCGCACTCGGGGCTGGTCGAAGGGGGGCGCGGGGGGCGGGATGCGACGCTGAGCCCGACCGCGTTGGCGGCTCGGGTTGGGCGGCGGGCGCGGGGTGGGAGGCGGCGCCGAGCCCGACCGCGTTGGCGGCTCGGGCTCGGGGTTGGTCGAAGGCGGGCTCAAGGTGGGGTGGGAGCGCCAGGCTCGTCAACGGGGGAGGCGGCGGGGTCGCGGCTTGTTGAGGGCGGGGGGGTGGGGAAGGGGCGTGGATGGACTTGTGTTGACGGGCTGTGGCCGCGTCAAACATCGGTCACGTGACCGCTGGTTGGCGTCGACGCGGCCGCGACAACATGGGTCACGTGACCGCCGGTCCAAACCCGAATTTTTGCTAAGTCCACATTGATCCTAGTACTGTGCCATAGTTAATGTATAAATTATATATAAGCTTATATGATACTATGCACTGATACTTCACTGTACAGGCTGACTATTACCCCAAAACTAATGAAGATCATAACATAGTGTGAGTTGGAAAGTCTGCTATGGTTTCTATATAAGTATGTACCAAAACTATGGATGCTATATAGATATATATCCAAAGCTATGGGTGCTATACGGACATCACTATGAGCTATGCAGTGCTATATAGCTGGTGTATTAAGCTATAAATTGCTACATAGCACCCCATAGCGACTGTCATAGTCTACATAGCGCTCTATAGCAGCTAGCTGATCACTCCATAGTGCACATAGAGCTACTATAGCAACAATAGTTCAAAGGGGCAGCTATATAAATTTGGGTTTTTTCAGATGAAGCGGTAGTACTTGGATAGACGGGGCTGAACGTTCTTAAAGGCCTCTGGAAAGGTTCAGATAAAGTCCACCTAAAGGAAGAGGGACCACTTACGTCGTATATGACGCTCAATTGCAATAATGCTTGGCTCTTGAAGCAGCTTATCAATAACTCGTTGAGTTTTCTTTCCATGTACAAAGTTGCCGGGTTTCTATAGCAGGGCATAAGCATAAAGTAGATCAGGAGCAAGAAGGACCTACCCCTCTGCCATTTCCATGGCTGAAGCCTGTCGCGATGCAGGGGAAATGCCCCCTTCGATGAGATAACTTAGACTCCATCATAGGAATCTCCTTCTCCACCCATGATAGGGCTTGGTTGGCGTCCTCCAAAACCTTGGACCACCCGTCTCCTTTAGGTGCTGCAGCAAGGGCTGCGATGACACGGCCATCCTGATCAGTGATCAGCTTAGGCTTCCTGAGCCACCGTCAGCAATTTGAGCTCAGGGGAAGATCAAAACCGCTCACAAGCCATCCCACTGCACCAGGGTTAGCCCCTTAGCAAGCGCCTCCTCACGGGTATAGGTACGCTTGTGTTTCTGCTCCCTTGTAGCTTTCGCCACATAACAAGGCTTAGTAGCCGAGCCCTTGAGCTTTGCAATGTTTGCATCTGCTTCTACGGCTGGGGCATGGCTAAAGAGCTTCGCCCGCGAGGGGGTTGTCGTCCGTCCTGTCAGCAAAACGGACGTGAAGGCTTTTGCCTTCTGTTTGCTGCGCTTCTTCCTCCGGCGGCGTTGTTCGCACGTGCTCCCATCCATGACAAAAGGTGGCGGCAAAGAGACAGCTTGCGTGGATGGAGCAGCTTCATGCAGGGGTCCCTCGCTGTGCCGATGACGTTTCCGGCGAGAGCTGGCCTCAACGAAAGGTTCATGGAGGGGGAGATCCGGCTCTGCGGGCCGCTTGCAATGAGCCAAGCGTTCTCCTTGGGTGGACGTGCCATAGCCGTCGTCACGGGCTAGCATGTTCTTGTTGTAGTGCGTGCGGTTGCTGGCGCCGTGGGCATTGACGTTCTCATCGTCGTGGGCGGACTCCTCGTCGTGGTCATCGTCGCCGGAGATGGGCGGCTCATCATCACCGGTGTCGCACCCTTCAACCCATTGCTGATGCTACGAGGCCATGACCTCCTCCACCGACCAAACAAAGCTGTAGTCTGTGGCGCGCAGTTGAATGGTAGCCTCATAAGGTGAATACGCAGCCCCACTTTGTGTTGGCTGCGGATGCCTGTCAGCCTCAAGGGTGTCCTAGGAGTGCAAGCAGCATACTCACCATGAGGCGCGGCGCTTTCAGGTCGGAGGCGTGAGGGAAGTCGATGTCAATCATACAAAAGCTCAGCCAAAAGAGAACGCGGCCAGAATCCGATATGAGGGATGCGGCAGGGCCGCGTCTGCAGCGTACCATAACGTGAGCCAGGGACAAGTGCATCCGACATATGCGAAGACATACGACGACCGCAGCAAAGCTGGTGTGAGGGTGTCACCGGGGGCTTGAGCTTGAGTTTGGGCGTGCGCGCCGGCGTGAAGGCGTCTTCGGGCGCTTGAGCTTGAGCTTGAGCTTCGGCATGTGCAAACGAGGCGGCAGGACATGGTTTTGGTCGTGTTCGCGTCAGGTCTAGGAAAAATCACCAGTAAGAAGGGTCGATGCTTCCAGCGCCCAGCTACGCGTATGCAACAGCCTGGGCGGGTTCAGCAAGGATGAGGTTGGGCGGAATGCTTGACCGGTGCCAGCAACCGCATCTCCTGTGAGTCACGGGAGATGCAGTTGCTGGGCGTGTCTGCGCTTAGTACAGTCGAACATCTCATAACGCATAGCGTCGGTTACACCCTCATTGCTATGCATTATCAAGTTTATGCACTTCCAGCAGCTGACCCTAACCCTATAAAATCCCAAGAAGGCAATCCCTAACCCTAAGTCCACGCTCAAGGCGCTGCTAACATCACGTGCAGGTCCCAGTGTGAGACCTTTACATAATGTTTAGGGGCTTACTTGTCTATATATGGAAGATATATAGCCATATATGGTATGCCCAGCCTATCTGATAATGCATAAAGGTACGATTTGGGCTATGCGTTATGCAATTATGCAATTTGCCCACAATTCCCTGCAAACCATGGTGGTTACAGGCCAAAACCGATGCATTATCAGATTTATGCATTATCACCCTATGCATTATGAGGTGTTCGACTGTATGGGACGCGCTTGTTGTTCACCACCAATGTACAAGCGCATCAGCACCAGACCGCAACGTGGCAGCGCAACATCTGTCTGCGCGGAACAAGATCAAGGCGCACGGTAGCAACATGGACAACGCAGCGCTACGCGGACGCACCACCAGACGAAGGCATGCGGTGACCCAGCATGCCCGCAAGCTCCGGACCACGACCGCGGCCGATGCGTAGGCGAACACGTTTGACGTGGGTGCTTCGCGAGCCCACGGATCGCGGTACGAAGAGCAGACGCACCGCATGGAAGGTCGATACGGCTGCACGGGCGAGCAAGGCGATGGTGGCCCCAGGTATGTGTCTGCCTGCCATTTTTGCCAGCTTTCCACTGATCTTACTTCATGCGCACAGAAGAATGCCACCGCGGCGGCGCGTCTGGACGTCTAGTCCGCATTGCAAACCGTTCAGGTGCACTGTGTCGAACGACGGCATGATGGCCACGCACTAACGCGCCCGACAGCCCGGACACAACTAAGGCATCGAGGGCTTCAAACGCTGGTAGCAGCAACGTGGGGAGCGCGACACGCTGCGCAGATGCACCGCCAGACAAAGGCACCCGGCGACCCAGCATGCCCACGAGCTCCGGACCCCAACCACGGTCGACGCGTAGGCAAACACGTTCGACACAGGTGCTTCGTGTGAGCCTACAGATCGCATTACAAAGAGCAGACGCACCACACGGAAGTGTCGATACGGCTGCACAGGTGAGCATGGCGGTGGCGGCCCCAGGTATGTGTCTTCCTGCCGTTTTTGCCAGCTTTCCACTGATTGTACCTCATGTGCACAGAGGAATGCCACCGTGATGGCACGTCTGGACGTCTAGCCCACCAAAGAATGCTTCGGGGCCGCAATGCAAATCGTTCAGGTGCGCTGTGTCGAACGACGGCATGATGGCTGCGCACTGATGCGTCCGACAGCCCGGACACAACGAAGGCATCACTGGCGGCTTCGAACGCTGGTAGCAGCAACGCGGGGAGTGCGACGCACTCCGCAGTTGCACCGCCGGACGAAGGTGCCCGGCGACCCAGCCTGCCCGCGAGCTCCGGACCATGACCGCGGCCAACGCGTAGGCGAACGGGTTTGACACGGGTGCTTCGCGCGAGCAACACAAACGGCATGAGACTGTATAGGCGCATCACGTGAACGCATCGTGGGACGACGGTGGATGGCGGCTGTTCAAGCAGGGCGTCCTACGACTCCGACTCGTTCCACCCGCAGACAGAAACTGCCCTTGGTCCTGCCGAAGGGACTCAATTTCATGGACCTCAACGCGGTCGGCAAGGAAGACACCGCGTCGTTCGTGCTCGACCTAGGCGCCTGGCTGAGCGACGACGCTTCCATCGCCGCTCAGTGATCAGATGTTTGCTTCCGTCTCACGTCAGTCCCAACCTTCAACGTACCAATATTCATACCACACGCAACCCCTCTCCTCTTCTGTCTGTCGCATATTCCCGTAACCTATTCGTGCACGCGCCGCAGCTAGCCACCTTCTTGCAGCAACTAGTATCACTCTGCTCGGGTGGCGGCACAAGTATGGATGTACCAAGCAGCTGCACTGGATTTGTAGTACTGTAGACCGTGATATTATACTAATTCATCCTCCTCGTCGCTGAATTCTGCAAATATGCCCTGTTCCTCTTCCTCAGGATTCCTGTCTTCTACCGCTTCAACCAATTTGGGCACTCCGTGCATACCAAGCTCTACCGGCGTAAGATTCTCAAGGAGAGGGATGCCCTGATCTTCACCAGATGCAGGTGCTGAAGCCTGTGCACTGAGAAGATCATTGACGCTGCGGCCTGCCGATCCTGAGTTGACCAGCGCCATACATGCCTCCAAGAGATGGAGATAAACCTCCCAGAACGTTGAATAGGAGAGGGGTGGTTGTGGGCCCAATGACGCATATACTTCTTGGACGAAGGTAGCAAAGTAGGGGGGTACCAAATTAAATACCGGGTGATCGTGAGGAGCCCATTGAGCCTCCGCCTCATCCAAGACCTCCCTAGGAACATTGATCTATGTGGAGCAACATAAATGAAGTGATAACGAATACAGGAAAAGGACACACTCCAAAATTCACAGTGTTGTACCTTTCTGGTTTTTCGAATATCATGTCAGGACGGCCATTAGGAAGTGCCTTCTTGGGATTTGCACGCTTTAGTGTAGTATTCCTGCGGGCCACATAACCATCTAGCTCAGTTTGAATAAATGGAATAGCCAGCCATCGGAACACCAAGCTGTGCATTCGTATCAGCACACTGTATGGTGGATGTAGAGCAGCACAACTCACTAGTGCAGTGAATGTGACGGATCATACCATCCTTTGTTAACACCATGCTCAAACAAGTTCTCAAAGCCGGGTGCCCATGTTGAGCGGAGGACCGACCATTCAATCTCTGGTTTAATATTGTTATGCCTTCGCATCCATCGGTGCTGAAGTGTCCCCGCCAAGGAGGGATCAAGGTGCTGACGAATAGCAGTGTGTGCATTTGCAATGCCATTGTTTTCAGAGCCTGGGTCACTCTGCGAAATAAGTGGGATGATATCTGTTGAACAAATGTTAGGTCGTTCAGCTGAGCCAAAGTTTCCTCAACGCACTGCCTAGACGACGTGCAGTATTGAGATACTGGCGAGTAACATAACGTGGATTGGAATTGGTCCACCAAACCACAAGCCATAAGATCTTGCCGCTAAAAGGTTCGACACCAACATGGAGATACAGTCCGAATTTGGACCACTTGTCATGCTGATCGAACACCCAGATGTGGTTGACACCAGCAGCATAGAATACCTTCCTCTTGAACTTCCTCTTCTTCCTTTCTTGAACCCCCTCCAGATGAACGGTTTTGAGATAGGTCAGCACCTTTTCTCTTTCCAAATTCCGTCAGGGTCCCAAATATAGACAATTCTGTGAACATACTGAGACACCCTAATTCCATAGTCAGTCCTAAGAAGGTTCTGAAGGGTCGGAGTGCCAGCTTTTGGAAATTTGAGAAGAAGCTCTTGCATAGATGCATTGATGGTCTCAATAGTATGACCCTGCTTCTGCGCACTGGCGATCCCCCACTTTGTGCACAATTGCTTGAACTTGGTCATTCTATGCAGATAGTCAATTAATCTTCTTATCCCCGCAGTCACCTAGTGTTATGCACCCTAGGCCATATCTGGTTGTATCTATATGATCGGCCTTCAGCGTAGCCAGTACTTGGGTCATCGTCATTCCCATGTCAGCGTATCGCCGGGCATGAGGCTCAAGCTCCTCCTCAGGTACTGATGTCATGGTTAACTTAGGCGAAGCAGTCCAAACTTGTACACTTACGACATGGCAGGTTCTTGCCCATGATTGCAAGACGCAAAGCTTATGTGCTCAGTAACTATGCTGGTGATGTCCAGCTTGTTATCATCACACAATCCTGTAATAAACACCGGCAATAATACTAGAGGAAAGGGCGGTCTCCCGCCAATCCACCTTCGCTTGCACCTCCCTTGTGTGATTTAAGACGCAATGGTATACTCTACGTGTATACATGTCAACTAGGTAACTATTAATGCACCTTAGGATGCCAGCCATTCCTAGTCTTGACCCATCTAATGCCAACTTAGGAAGGATGTGATGTATGCTAAATCACTTTGCAAATCACTTATGGTTAGTAGCAGTACAACAAGCCATGTATACTGTAGTTTTACGACCTTAGGTTCGGTCCATCTCCTGGGGGACAGGGGACAGCTGCAAGTTCGGGGCCGTGAGAAGTTCGCAAACTTAGAAATATTCACCCAGTAAGAAATAATATTCTCATGATCAGTCCTGGCCCTGGATTTTGGCGGGGGACAGGGGACAACACGGGAAATTAGGTTCAGTTCGGGCTGCCAGGGGACAGGGGACGAACCTAAGGTCGTAAAACTACAGTATACTTCATAAAGTCTTGTAGAATCGACGATGTATGTTTGCCGTATACCGTATACGCTCCGTTTTGAATCGGAGTATCAAATCGGGGCTTAAACACGTAACACAGCCACGGTTAGCGATGCTTACTAATTACAGGCAGGGAGATAAGCGCCCACTACATAGTCGGACGTGACGACCATATACGTTGTGTCGTCAAATGAAAGTGGGCTCGGAGGTGTGCAGGAGCTTACGGAGGATATACTTTGTACGCCGGAAGATCTACTGCCATGAATGCAGTGATCTCAGGGGATGATACCTCAGCATGGACTCCAGGCCCGAATAGAAACTCCATGTGATCAACGCACATATGCTGAACGGCTCTACTGTTGTCAGCATTCCAGGTCCCGGGCATGAATCAGGGAATAGCAAATGACTATCATTTTTGGATTGTATTCCCTCATGACAGAGCCAGAAGATATACGATGATTCTGTCAAAGCTGCTTTCTAAACAGCGCGGAATGCCTCCATTCCCGACTTGA